AGACAGAGAACATCACTGGAAAATACGAAAACAAAAGGTATCAGCGCATATGCTAAGCAACAAAAATCCCCTAAGCCGGCCAAGTATAGACATGAATCAAATATGACAACCAGTAATACAGAGAATTAGAGAAAAACAATAACAAAAATTGTATTATGATTTCTGGTAAAAAAAGAAACTGAAACATTAGGTTTATAATTCCCCCCAAATCACTCCCTGATGTCCCCCAAGAACATATGGCCCTGTGGATAAAGAACTTGAAGAAATTCAAAAGTGACTTGACCCAAACAAGTTGAAAAAATTGGAGAGTTGAGTTACTAAAAAAGGAAATGACTGAAAATGAGATATGCAGAAAAGGCACGAGAACTAGGACAATCTATCTCTGTGGATTCGGTTCGAAATTCCAGCGTATATCATCTGATGAAGACCGGAGCGTACAACGACCGAAACGTTGTGAATCTGACGATAAAGATGAGCCCGAACAATGTAAATAGTGTAAATAGTTATAATACATCTCATATATATATATATATATATATATATATATATATATATATATATATATATATGTGAAAAGTGAATATAAATATAAATAAATATATATATATGTATAATTATTTATATATTATATGCGGGTACTTATTAGAAAGCGCTCAATATCAGAGATAGAGCTAACATCTATATATATATATATATATATATATATATATATATATATATATACATATATATAATAAAAAGAGACCACTTTAAGGTACCATTACAATAATTTATTTCACCAAAATCCTTTTTAAAAAACTCCGGATCATCAGGTAACAATTCCAACAACAAAATGAAAGGAAAAATGGGATTAGAAATTGATGGGTAGTGTAATTTTTGTAATTTAACAGGTGGGGGGTGAGAGTTGTAGTTAGAGAGACAAGGTAGAGTATAGGGAGGGGTTAATTTCATATCTCTCTTAAGCATGCTTTATATTGGGGTAGGAGGAGTGACCGAACCTTGACCTATTTAGATGGTTAACTTAACGGAAATGATATATATGAATGAGTGGGGAGAAAAGAAAAGGAAAAATGGAAAAGAGAGAGGAGACAGACGACAGTAATACAGATATATTTAAATGAGTGTTACGGCAAAGAGAGAGGGCGAGAGGGAAGTGAATCGAAAGAGGCTGTAATTTTGTTTGAACAAAATTATGTAAAAGATAGATTTCAATGCTTGATAGAACTTTAGATGTCTAAAAAATGATGAATGTTATCAATTTAAACATTTAATTTTTTAAGTAAATAGTTTAGGGACTTAATATAAGTTAACTACTTTTTTTATTAGTACATTTATCGAGAACATATTAAAGAAATATTTAAAATAATAATAGTTTATTTACCCGACTAATTGTACTTCCATAATATTGTAAAAAAATTTCGGTAACAATAACATCTATATTAGTTTTACTTTTAATCTAATTTATGAATGTAATTTTTCTTTACTATTATATGGGTAAACTTAAGGTTTAGGTTTCATTATTTATTAATATTTGAGGGTAATATTAAAGATTTTGTTTTCTTCTTATATGTATCTCACAAACATATTCATGCAAATCCATATGTATATACGTTTAATATATATATATATATATATATATATATATATATATATATATATATATATATATATATATTGGGAATTAAATTATTCGTTAAATCTCCAAAATTTGAATACGCTTCAGAAAGCAAATAATGGAACCATGAGAATTTAATAATCTTTTCGGTAAACAATCTTCCTCGAAGAGAGTCTTGGTCAACTCATATTCGATAAGTCGTTGTCGTCTGAAACGCATCTAAATATAATGTCTCTGTTGCTAACGAAACGTTCGTCCAGTCGCCAAAATAGTTAATTTATTGTCTATTCTTTTGACATCACCTGACTCGTTGTCCGAAAGGAAAATCATTCCGTGGCTCAATGATGTCTGAAAGTCATTTAATAAAAATTATCTTGCATTCAATAATAGTCAAAATATCAATGTGAGTGTGGCCATTAATTAGTCAACTTGATGAATGTCCCGATACAACACGCACTTAAACAAACATGTAAGAACACATATGCACACGCGCGAATACATCAACATATCTATATATAGAAAGTTTTAGCCTCTGTCTGTCTGTTATCGAACATTTTGCAGGGTTTTGAAAATAGACCGCATAAATATATATATTCTGAAACTACATTACCTAGGATATTTGGATAAGTATATTTCATTTTGATCAAAGGGGATCTCCGGGGTGGGGGTAGCTGAATTTTTTTTCCCTTTGATATAAACTGAATTTAAATTTGAACAAGGGAATGACTCTTAGGGTACTTGGATAAGTATATTTCATTTTGATCAAACGGGGTTCCTGTGGGGGCACCCCCTTGAATGTTTTCCTCCTTTGATTTAAATTAATTTTAAATTTGAACAAGGGGATGATTCATATTCAAAATATGGAAGGAAAAAACCAGAAGATGGAAGTCACATCGGTAAGATCAAAATGAGACAATATGGACGTCAAGTTGAGCAAGAAATCACCAATCAGTGGGTAGTGCCATATTTGTTGTGACAATTCAATCCTTCATATCAATGTTGAAATCAGCTCATCAATTCATTCAATCAAATATTGCATCAAATACATATCAAAGGGGTCAGATCAAGCTGTTTTTGCATAAACCCTCCATTTAACTTTTTTCCTTTGATTTAAATTTAAAATTGAACAATTCAAATAATTCAATAATTCTTCAAATTATGAAAGGAGAAAGCCAGAAGATGGAGGTCACATCAGCAAGATCATTGAGTAATATTGAAATGCATCATTTTTCTCCACAAATTATAACAATCACTTAAAATGATTCATTATTCACTTACAAAAAAATTTGGGACACACAACAAGTGCCGGGTAATTCGACCAGTACACACACACACACACACACACACACATATATATATATATATATATATATATATATATATATATATATATATATGTGTGTGTGTGTGTGTGTGTGTGTTTTGAACAAAACTGACACAGTGCTTTTATTTCGTTTTTAATTATATTTTTGCTTTGTGCGTACCATTGTTTACTTTTCTTAATGAAAGTAAAAATTCTCCAAAAGTTTGTCTTTCGGCTAAATTATTAGTCATTTTTCGTTGTACTACTATGCTATCTAATGTGTAAGTGGAGATGGTATAAGAATTGTTGAAATTAAACATATTCTTAATTTCCAAATACGGCCAGTATATTGTATCCGTGTTCCTAATTGATGCTATTAAGGGTTGATTTTTTTTTATTTTTTGTAAGAGTATCCATCACTTTTAAAGACTTTTTGCATTTGGAGGTACATTTCACAATTGTGTTCAGGAAAATCATATTGAGATTGATTGCAAAAAGCGCTTAAAAATGGTTATATCGCTACACCTATAAACTTAGAGAATTGTTGCTGTTTGACCCAACTGTCGAGTGGCGCGTCCTGCCCAGTTAATGTCAGCAAGATACAAACAGATGTTCGGATTTTTAACTTCGAATAACAAAATAAAATAAAGCCAGTTCGTTTATAACTCTTATGCTATTTTTTTTAATGAATACGAGTTGCTTAGGTGTAAATAACTTATACTTTGTTATATTCTTCTTCTTCTTCTTCTTCTTCTTCTTCTTCTTCTTCTTCTTCTTCTTCTTCTTAAGGTCATGTTCATTAAGGGTGTGGGCGAACATACCTCTCCAAAATTTACTGTCCGCTGAGGCTCTTACCTTTTTTCTATCAGTCCTGTTCTGCTAATCATTTCCAGAACCTTTTCAGGCAGGTGATGCACTGCATTCCTCGGCATCTCTTGCCTTCAATATAACATGTGTGTGTCATATTTCCCAAGCCCTCTCTCCTCATTGCGTGCCGTAGGAATTTCAGCTGTCTCTTTCTGATGATAAGTATACGTGTCCATTTTATTTCCATTTTCTCTAAAACTTCGTCATGAATCACATGTTCAGACCATGGTATTCTCAGCATCCTTCTGTAGAACCACATTTCTGTTGTCCTTTTAATGATATTGTCCAGTCATAGAGGAGTTCTTATAATATGCAACTGTTCAGTACCATTTTCTTTCTTTCTAACGAAATTTTCGTGTATCTTAATACTTTGCTTAGCTTTTGGAAGTTAATTTTCGCTATTCTAATGTACCTTCCGATTTCGGTGTGAGTTCTTAAATGTTTAAATTTTTTAGTTGCTTGATTTTGATATATATCAAATTTGTAAATGTCTCTGTACCACTCCTGATTTTCTGGATCTGTCAACCACGTCCAGTGGCGGGGAGGGGGGGATGGTTTGCGATTAAACTGATTTTAGGAATTCCATCTGTAATTTATTTTCGGTTTTGAAAGTTGCTCTTTGCTAAAAATATTTAAATACATTTTTATTTCAAATGTGTACAGATTGAGCATCTTTTTTTTTCTGTCTCAGAACTTTCTTCGTAGATTTGGAACATCGAGAAAATGAAGGTGGGAGCCTCTGTCTATATTTCTGACATAAGTTATTTGACTTATTTACAGTATTTACGTTGTTTGGACCCTTGTCCTCATCTTTATTGTCGTATTAACGACGTTTCGGCCGTTGTATGCTCCGGCCTTCTTCAGTTGATATACATTGGAATTTCGAACTGAACCCTTTATTTAGTCCATGTGCCTAGATTGCTCCACGTGCCATGCCTTTTCTGGGTAGCTCAGTTTCAGTTATTTCCATTTAGTAACTCAACTCTCCAATTTTATGTTCACCTTTGCTGTGGTCAGATATTGAACTCACAACTCTTTTAGTCAAGTCACTTTTGGATTACTTCAACCAACACTTTTATCCTCTGCGCCATGTGTCCTTTTATCTACTGGGCCATGTGTCCTTTTATCCGCTGCACCATGTGTCCTTTTATCTACTGGGCCATGTGTCCTTTTATCTATTGGGCCATGTGGCCTTTTATCCACTGGGTCATCTAGCCTTTTTTCTACTGGGCCATGTGTCCTTTTATCCACTGGGCCATCTGGCCTTTTATCTACTGCGCAATCTGGCCTTTTATCTACTGGGCCATGTGTCCTTTTATCTACTGGGCCATCTGGCCTTTAATCCACTGGGCCATGTGGCCTTTTATCTACTGGGCCATGTGTCCTTTTATATACTGGGCCATGTTTCCTTTTATCTACTGGGCCATGTGTCCTTTTATCTACTGGGCCATCTGGCCTTTTATCTACTGGACCATGTGTCCTTTTATCCACAGCGCCATGTGTCATTTTATCTACTGGGCCATGTGTCCTTTTATCCACTGGGCCATGTGTCCTTTTATCTACTGTGCCATTTGGCCTTTTATCTACTGGGCCATGTGTCCTTTTATCTACTGGGCCATGTGCCCTTTTATCCACTGGGCCATGTGTACTTTCATCTACTGGGCCATGTGTCATTTTATCTACTGGGCCATGTGTCCTTTTATCTACTGGACCATGCGGCTTTTTATCTACTGTGTCCTCTGGCCTTTTATCTACTGGGCCATGTGTTCTTTTATCCACAGGGCCATCTGGCCTTTTATCTACTGGGCCATCTGGCCTTTTATCTACTGGGCCATCTGGCCTTTTATCCACTGGGCCATGTGGCCTTCTATCTACTGTGCCATTAGGCCTTTTATCTACTGGACCATGTGTCATTTTATCCACTGCGCCATGTGTCCTTTTATCTACATGGCCATGTGTCCTTTTATCCACTGGGCTATGTGTACTTTTATCCACTGGGCCATGTGTCCTTTTATCTACTGGGCCATGTGTCCTTTTATCCACTGGGCCATGTGTACTTTCATCTACTGGGCCATGTATCCTTTTATCTACTGGACCATGTGGCCTTTTATCCACTGTGTCATCTGGCCTTTTATCTACTGGGCCATGTGTTCTTTTATCCACTGGGCCATCTGGCCTTTTAACTACTGCGCCATCTGGCCTTTTATCTACTGGGCCATGTGTCCTTTTATCTACTGGGCCATCTGGCCTTTTTATTCACTGGGCCATGTGTCCTTTTATCTACTGGACCATGTGTCCTTTTATCTACTGGGCCATGTGTCCTTTTATATACTGCGCAATGTGTCCTTTTATCTACTGGGCCATGTTTCCTTTTATCTACTGGTCTATCTGGCCTTTTATCTACTGGACCATGTATCCTTTTATCCACTGCGCCATGTGTCCTTTTATCTACTGGTCCATGTGTCCTTTTATCTACTGGACCATGTGTCCTTTTATCCACTGGGCCATGTGTCCTTTTATCTACTGGGTCATGTGTCCTTTTATCCACTGGGCCATCTGGCCTTTTATCTACTGGGCCATGTTTCCTTTTATCTACTGGGCCATGTGTCCTTTTATCTACTGGGCCATGTGTCCTTTTATCCACTGGGCCATGTGTCCTTTTATCTACTGGGTCATGTGTCCTTTTATCCACTGGGCCATCTGGCCTTTTATCTACTGGGCCATGTTTGCTTTTATCTACTGGGCCATGTGGCCTTTTATCTACTGGGCTATGTGTCCTTTTATCTACTGGGCCATGTGGCCTTTCATCCACTGGGTCATCTGGCCTTTTATCTACTGGGCCAAGTGTCCTTTTATCCACTGGGCCATCTGGCCTTTTATCTACTGGGTCATGTGTCCTTTTATCTACTGGACCATGTGTCTTTTTATCCACTGCGCCATGTGTCCTTTTATCCACTGGGCAATGTGTCCTTTTATCCACTGGGCCATTTGTCCTTTCATCTACTGGGCCATGTGTCCTTTTATCCACTGGGCCATGTGTCCTTTTATCTACTGGGCCATGTGTCCTTTTATCCACTGGGCCATCTGGCCTTTTATCTACTGGGCCATGTGTCCTTTTATCTGCTGGGCCATGTTTCCTTTTATCTACTGGGCCATCTGGCCTTTTATCTACTGGGCCATGTGTCCTTTTATCTACTGGGCTATGTTTCCTTTTATCTACTGGGCCATGTGTCTAAGGATAAACGCATTGGACACATCGCTCAGTGGATCAAAGCATTGGATACATGGGCCAATAAAAGCGTTGGTTGAAGAAATCCAAAAGTAAACCTAAGCTATACAACTCAGTTTGTCTTGCTATTCAACACATACCTGGGGGGAGAATAAATGAATTCATACCATTCCCAAGGGTATTTGCTTGTAAATGAAAGTAACGAGCCCGACTGCAATTCGAGCTCCGCCTTAGATTTTAACTAAGATCAATGAGTAGTATCTGTTTTTATCAACTTAATCTAATTCCCTCTCTCTACTTCTATCTTACCTTCTTTCTGTCTTTTTTTCTTTCTTTCTTTCTTTTTCGCCCTGAAACCTCTTTCCATGCAAAACGAAATAGTCTATTTTTTATTGGTTATTGACAGAGCGTGACGGTCGTGCAAACTAGCGATGAGAGGGGGGAAATTATAATAGGTTTCTTCTCCTTTTACGTGTCTTGTTGCTTCAGACGTGTACGATTATGGTGCTTCACAACTTCCATTTGGAAAAACTGTCTCAGAACTTTCTTTGTAGATTTGGAACATCGAGAAAATGAAGGTGGGAGCAGCATGGCGTTTCCTATTTGAAAAAAAAAAGAATCTTAGTGTTACAGGATTAGCGTATCCAATCCCTTTGCATTCTTAATTCATTAATCCTGTGTTTTTGCTCAGAGCCCAGAGACAGCAGTTATATTCTAAACAAGTCTTTCTCTCACGCTCTCTTTCTCTCTCTCCCTCCCTCTCACCCCCCTCTCTCTCCCCTCCCCTCTCACATCATCCCCTCTCTCTCCCCCTATCTCCCCCCTCCCCTCACCTCTCTTCCTCCCCTCCCTCTCATACAATACTTTGATTATGATAGTTTTGTGTATAATCGGTTGAAGGAAGAGAAGGAATTTGACAGGACGGCATCTGGATTATAAACGTGTATTTAAATGTCGGCGCATTGATCGTAATTAGGGAATCGAATACAAATCCTTTTCTCGAGTCAATTGCAAATAGGATCTGCTAAAAAAGAACACTTAAAAAAAAAATAAAAGGTTTTAAAATTACATTTTTTATTTATTTTCTGTTTTCTTAGTTTCCCCCTTCGTCTTCCATAACAGCCACCATATTCAGGGTTCTGTTTTTCGGCAGATAATTTTTAAAGTATTTTCATTGACAGGCACTTTTACAGTTTAAATCTCTTGGCTATGGTTTCCGAGAACAGATAATGAGTTTTCACCTTATTAATAATAAAAGAAACCTTACTTTTACAAAACTCGAATCTAAAAAGAATACGTTAATATGTTCTGAACAAAATATAGTAACGGCTACGGCCACGTCATGTTCTAACACCAGTTCCGGTACGATCACCGAAGTTAAGCAATATTGACCCTGGTCAGTAGCTAAATGGTTGATCGCTTCGGAATACCAGGCGTTTCAATGTGCGGATGGTGCAATGGAGAACATCTCGGAATTGTAAATTGGAGAGCCGAGTTCCAATACCAGTCGGGTTCGTTATATTGACATCTGCAAATACCCTTGGGAAAGGCATGAATCCACATCTTCTTTCCCCAGCTATGGGTTAATTAGTAGGATCAAATTTAATAAAGAAAATAATTGAATTTTTATAAACAAAATAATTTCTTTTGTTGGACCTTCTTTGATTTTTAATTTTTATGACGTACAATCAGTTGTTAACTGGGGCAAGGAATGGCTTGTTAATTGTAACGCCCCCAAAACGAAACTTCTCTCGAACAATCACCTGAAAGAACCCTGTCTGCCTCCATTCAGCATGGCTAACTTTCATGAGAATGATTCGTTGCACTTTCCCGGGATAACATTATCGGCTGACATGAAGCGGAAAGATTATATTGAACCCATTAATAGGTCTGCTGATAAGAAATCTGGTTCACTGTGTGACGCTAGACAGTCTTCCTTTTCTAATCTATCTCTGTCTATAAAAGGCAAGATGTGTGTGTGTGTGTGTGTGTAACGAATGCATGGCCGCAATTTTCGATGGATTTGCACCAAAATTTACATGCACTAGCGGGAAGGCCAAGACCGACATTGCATTTCCCAACTCCCATCGATAGTGGAAATAATCGATTTTTTCATGTTTCTACGGTAGTTTTCATGTAGTTTGCGGCTATTTTCTACTGGCCAGAGTGAGGGCCAATAGCTGGCTGCCACGAATAGGCAGGAAGATTCTATTGGCCAGCGTGAGAGCCAAGAGCTGTCACGAATAGGCAGAAAGATTCTATTGGCCAGCGTAAGAGCCAACAGCTGACTGACACGAATGTTAACTAGCATGCTAGCATGCAAAGAAATCGATAGCTGCATTCGTCACAATGGGAAAAATTTAAATCTGAATGGCACTTTACTCCAATTGGCTCATTCGCTTGCTTAAACTCAACGTTGATTCTGATTCCGCAGAACTGGGTTGGGTGTGAAAAAGTATTTTTTGTTACCATTCTCTTTTCATTCGGTTTTTCCAGTCACGAGTCCTTCTTTAAAGCTGATCGTTTTGTGTTCATTTTGTGTTCATTTTTTCGTAACAGATTTAATGTTTAGTATAGAGCTTAGAAAAAATTCGCCGTGTGAGATAGGCAAGAAGTAAGGCATGTAGCAACATCAGCACGGCAAAGGGCACTCCTTTAAAGGCAAGTAAGGGCAAAATATTTTAAGTCAAGTGATAGCGATTGCTGTATCAGTCGTGCGATTTTTGAATCAAGCACGGGCAACGCCGGGCCATGCTGCTAGTCTTACATATATTTCTAAGTCTACTATTCATCCATATTTAGAATATTACTCCCATATATGGTCCGGTGTCCCTGCTGTATATTTAGAGATTCTTAATAAAATCCAATGAAGAATCAGCAATATTATTGGTCTTGACCTGGCGTCTCGGCTTCAATCATCTTCCCACCGGCGTAATGTAACTTCTCTGTGTTTTTTCTATAAATACTTTCGTGGTAATTGTTGAATTCGTTATGCTACCTCGACTTTATGAATATAAGGTCTCATCATTTTACAGTTGAAATGCCTAAATGCAACCGTAAGTTCTATGCTAATAGTTTCTTCTCTTACACTTCTCGCTTGTGGAACTCTCTTTTCCGGCTTCATGCTTTTCAGTTGATTTTGATTTTTAAAAATTTAAATACAATATCAATCGTTATCTATTGTTTTCTTGATTACTCTTCCATTGTTATCGCTTCTTTTTTTCTTTTTCTTGTTCTTTCACACTCAGTAACCCTCTTGTGTCTTATTGGCTTTACTGCCTTGCATTGACTATTATGAAAAAAAAATGAAAAATAGAAAAAAAAAATGAAGTGTCGAATCCGGAAAAGGTCGACAAATTCTCAGCGGCAACAAAAAGGGCAATTATAGCAAAAAAATGAGGACAGGTTAATAACCCATGCAAAACGAATAAGGCTAAGAGCCGATTAGGGGAAGAGTGATCAGCATTCCATAGGCACTCCCAGTTAGGATTTTACCAACAATGAAAAATTACTCTACAGAATATAACAAATGAAGACAATGATTATAGATGATCCAACAAGATTTCGAAACATCCGATGAAAATTTATGAGAAGCAAAGTAAATAAATCCCGAAAATGAAACCTTGTATAGAACAAATACAAATCTATATGATGTATACCGTCCCTCCTGTTGGCTACTTGAACTGGCTTCAGTTCTTCCGGCCCCAACGCTGTTTCATAGACAGTATAAAAAAGACGTTTTTTTCACATTATTATAGAGACTTGAAGTAACAGAAATGTTATTCTACAGAAGGATGCTGAGGATACCAAGAACCGAACAACGAGGTTCTGGAGAAAATGAAAACAAAAAGGAAACTTATACTTAACATCAGGAAAATACAGTTGACATTTCTGTGGCACCAAAGGAGGGTTTGAAAATCTATTTCTGGTATTTTTATTATGAATAAGTAATTTTTCTACTTTGATAGTGTTTTGTTCTTGTTTGGGGTTCACCATTTACCCATATCTGGGACCCTAACAGGTGCTACCACCTCGGGTCAGAGTGGATTTGGGGGAAAAAGCAATTAAGAGATGGTTCCACGCTCCTCAAAACTTCCAATCTTCCGATCAGATGCTTTGCTGTCGGATGTAGTTTAGTGTCATATCTTGGACTATCTTTCAAATAAAATTTAAGTAGCAAACAATAGTTGAAACAAAATAATTTCTTTTAAAACCTAATTGTGGAATTAACAAAAAATAAAGTGTCGTATCTGTAAAAGGGTCGAATGTAAAGCAAGAATGTGAATGGTAAATAACAACAACACGGGATTTATAGCAAAAATTAGGGACAGGGTAGTAACCCATGAAAATTAAATAAATCCCCGTGATAATTAAGAGAAGGAGAAAGGCGATAAGAATTCCATAGGAATTTTCAGTTAGGATTTTACAAAGCAAAAACTAAAGATTGCTCTTCAGAATACATCAAAGGAAGACAACGGTTATAAGATGATCTAACAGGCTCAATAGAATTCCGAAACGTCCGACGAAGATGTAACAACGGAAAAAGAATGTCCCAAATATACGAGGACGAAATTCAGACTGACAAAACATCGGACGGGAATGATCAAAATCTCCAAGAGAAAAAAACATATCTAGAGACGGAGAGAGAACGAAAGCTAAAAATCCGAAGGGAAGTACAAAATTTACAAAGAATAGCAAGCTCTTACATTTCAATGTATTTACAAGGCGCTTGATTTACAGGAATTATAAAACACTTAAATTTCTCGGGATTGTCGTGATATATCTGCACGTAAAGATAGCCTGATATGAGGATAGGGAGTAATATAAAATATCTATATGAGTTCTCAAGAGTTAGTAGTAATCTAGGTTACCTTAGTAGATAGTATTTATCCCAGTCTCCCCATTGAGACGGGATGTGCCACAAGGTGGGGAACCTGAGCGCGTACACACGGGTCAGGGACAAAAAATGTCCAGCCCCCGCATCCGTCGGTTGCGCTGCCATCAGTAGGACTACTGACTCTCTCTCTCTCTATCTCTCTCTCTAGAGGTTACATTAGTAGATGTATTAAGCGACTTGTGAACACAAATAAAACGGTATGTCACCGCTATTATTTTAACTACCTTCACTCCTCCGCAATGATTATTGTCTTAAAAAGCGATTATTAGAATTGTAATAAAACCTAAACATAATGAAAGTGAATCTATACATATTTTAAATAAGAATTTAAAACAAAATATCAAACACTATTTATTAGGTTGTTTATTTACCAGAACAATTTTATATTTACAACATTCTAAAAACTAATACAATTGTATTAAAACTAAGACTAAATATTTATGAAGACAGTTTTTTATTCATAAATTAATAAAAATTTTTTGTGTTGTCAGAGAACTCTTGTTGACACTTTTGTGATGCCTACGAATACTCGTTGTCACTTTCGTAGATGCTCGTTGTAATAAAGATTTTGTAATCTCAGATACAACAACAGTAACGCCGTTGAACAATACTGGTATCAGACGCCTTCGAATATAACTCACACTAATAGTACTTGCTCGCTAATATTCGCTCGAATAGTAATCCGTATAGTGATCCGAATAGAGAAATAGTATAGTGAATAGCGGTCCGTATAGTAATAGAGGGTAGAATAGAAATAGTGATTCGTATAGTAATAGACGATAAACTAGCAATAACGATCAAATAGACGTCACGCGACTTCCTACTTATGCGTTTCCTCACGTTGTCTACTTAGTTCAATAATGGGATCGCCTGTGTTTGCTCACTGGCGATCTATGTTCAAACTCAAGTGTTGCCAGTGACATTTTATTTCTATATAACACATTTACTAAATTGTTAAAATATGTGAACCAACAATAAGGAAATCCT